CCCCCGCCAGCCTTGGCCTTCTGCTCTGTGGGTTCGTCCACCCTGGACACCTCACACGAAGGGGATCAGACTCTGCGCGATGATTTCGAGGTTGGGCACAGGCAGGCGCGTTGGGCCTCTTGAGACCGAAGACGTTCCCAGTGCAGGAGGACACTGCGCGGCGGCCGCGGGCCACACCGTGGCGGGTCCACCTCTGCTGGCCCAGCGTGGTGCCGCCCTGATGGGACTGGGCCCCCTCGCCTCTCGGAGTGTGGGTGGGACGTCCTCAGCCCAGCGGGCGCTGCAGTCTCCACAGGAAGGCTGCCGTGGGGGCTGAGCTGTATTTACCCGGATGCTACCGGAGGCGGGCACGCGGGTGGCTCAGAGAATGTCCTGGGTGTCATCTCACACTAGGCATCACACGAGCTTTTTAAATAAAAAAGAAAAGCTCTTTATGCACACAAGAAGTGGGGAGCAGGCAGAGCGTGGGCGGTGAGCGGACTCCCCAGAGACGGAGTGGGGAGCAGACCGGTGGACAGACCGAAGCACGCTGAGCGGAGTAGCAGAGGGACAGAGGGGTCCGCTGCACCCTGGGGGTCCCCCCTGGCTGGGGAGCCGGAGCGGTGGCTGGCGAGAGCTGGGAAGCGCCGAGTCTAACCCCTGCGCCACCTCGGAGGCCGCCTCGAGCGTCGAGCGTTTCAGGCCCTTTGCGGGATAATGCGAACACGTGAACACACGCACCGACGGTCTCCTGGACGCGCCACTCAGCTCCCACACTCGTCAGCGTGTGGGCACGCTGCCACCCCCACCCCGACCAGCCTGTGCCAGAAGCCAGGGCAGAGTGGGAAGGCCTGGCTGCCAACGCCAACAGGCTGAGCCACTGGACAGCAGGACAGCTGTCCCTGGGGACGCCTCTGGGGAGGATGCAGCACACCGGGGTGGGGGGGGACGCGTCCTCCAGGGCTGTCCAGAGGAGAAGGGAACGGGCAGTTGGTGCTTAACGGGGACAGAATTTCGGTTCACCGAGATGAGAAAGTTCTGAGTCTCCAGCTGCAGCTTCCTGCCCACCCCCGCCATCAATTCGCTCAGCAGTTACCAGGCGCCTACTGTGGGCCAGGTGTGTTATACTGCGTCCCCCAACAGTCCTGCGGGGATCTGTGGCGTCCATGGCCAGCATGTCACTGAGGCCCAAGAGCTAGTTGGTTAAGTGAGACTGTTGGGCCCAGACACATCTGACGCTCACGTGGGCCCGAGGTCCCTGGGGCCATTTGCTGAATGGTGGACAAGCCCATCCCTGGGAAGAGTGTCACCTGACAGAAGTGGCAGGACTCAGGCTGAGTCCTGGCTGAGGCCTGACTGTGATCTGGGTGGGGGGAGCCACGGAGGGTTCTGAGCAAAGGGCGGGCAGTCCCAGGGTCACCGTGAGCGGCCGCCCAGGAGGGCGGTACTGCCTGGCTCTGGCACTAGGGGGCCCTCGAGTCCGCTCACAACTGTGTGCGGGCGGCCCTGGGGCTCCGGCTCCCTCCAAGTGCCGCCAGGTCCCAGAACCCCGCGATATGCGAGCATAATGGGCACAATGATTCCAAGTCTTTGTAAGAGGAGAATATAGCACACCACATTCATTCTTTTAAAAACATGAGTGACAAAAATGATGTATTATTTTTAAGAACGGGGGTACAGGCCAGAGGTGCAGAGGTGGTGAGGGGGCTCACCAGAGACAGAGCGGGGAGCAGAACAGGCAGATGGATGAAGTCCACTGCGGAGGGAGCAGCGGACCGGTCAGGAGAGGTCTGCTGCAGCCTGGGGTCACTCCCTGGCCGGGGGTCAGACTGTCACTGCGGCATGTGTGGGCGGCGTCACGGGGCTCTGCTTTGACCCTCACGCCTCCAGGGCCCCTCCCCAACTGATACTGTTTTAGGCACATGCGGCTCAATAAATTATTAAGATTTCATTTATTTCTTTTTTGTACTGTGGCTAAAGCTGCATCAGATTGCATGGGCTGAATTTCTGTTTTGGACCGTGCAGCTTCGTAGTTATTCTTTTTGTCCGATTTCTTCTTGTGTGGTCACCCCTCGAGTTAGTCATCAACTGTGATTCTTACCAGACTGTCCTCCTTGCTCAATGAATACAGGCAGATAAGTAGGGACCCCAGGAGGCGGGGGATACGTGGGAGCCGCCTCTTGCCCTCAAAGTAAAAAACAGACCTCAGGTACCTGTGGAGACCCACAGGCCCGACTTCACTCTTCCGAATTTCCCGAGACTCTTCCATGGCGGAGCCCTGCAGCTGCTGGCAGGTGTTCACGTGGCTCATGGTTTGCTCCCTTCCCCATTGCCAAAAGGAAAAAGACAAAGAATGATGCAGTAAGTTTCATTCCTGTCTATGCCCAAGTGCTCATTACTTTATTTCTAAGGAAAAGAGTTCTAGGATCGAGATTTCCGGGTGAAGGGCTTACGCGTTTTTAATTTTAATACATTTTGTCAGGTTTTGGATATCAATGAACTGATTCCAAAGTTGATACAGAAAAGCACAGACTTAACAGTCAATACAAAGCTAAAAACATTGGAGAACTGTCACTGCCATGTCAAGGCTTCTGTAAAGCTACAGTCAGCAAGATGATGTGTGGGGGCAAAAGAGAACACACAGATCCATGAAACAGACTCACCTGTTATGGGGCAGGGTACGGGGCTCCCCGGGACCCCCACACGGGCACACTTAAATGGGGTCTGCTAGGCACCACATAGACAAAATATACTCCAGGGTGTAAGGGCTCCAGCGGAAACTTCCATACCACGAGTGTGCGACTGAAGAGAAAGAACCTAGTTCAAACTAGTTTCCAAATAAGACCCACCGTCACCTTCCCCTGGGGGTAAAAGCCCAATGGGGTTGGCCCAAAAGCCTGCCACAGTCGAGGCGCCCCCTGGCGGGGGCCACAGGAAGGCTGAGGGCCAGGCGAGTCGGGGCAAAGTCACAATCCACGCCAGGTAAAGGCCACGGGCAGCCCCCACGGCCTCTCGCCCACGTCTCTGTCTCTTTC